TGTGCAGCTCTAGTGCGACGTAAATGAACAAATCAATCAATCAATCAACCAAATGACTAAATTTTTCTTTTCTTAAACAATTAAAGTTGCATAAATAAAAATTGAAACACCAAATCTTTGGTCAAACATTGAAGCGAAATCACAAACCCCATTAATTTGAGGTGCAAATGATTGCATTTTTCTTTTTCTAAGCAAATAAAATTGCATAAATAAAAATTGAAACACCAAATCTTTGATCAAACATTGGACCGAAATCACAAACCTCACTAATTTGAGGTGCAAATGACTACATTTTTCTCTTTTTAAGCAAATAAAGATGTATAAAGAAAAATTGAAACGCCAAATCTTTGGTCAAACATAAAACACAAGAACTCCGCAAACATGAGATCCAACTGGTCATCTTTTTCATTTCTTAAATGTATAAATCAGTATAAAGAAATTTTTTATTTTTTTAGTAAACCTGTTTCTCATTGATTAAAATATATGCAACGTATGATAGTTGTTCGGATGATCAATTATTACCCAAAATTCCTAATATCAGCTCGCTTATAACAGTATGCTACACAACTTCCTGTATAATATTTATATACATATTTATATTTATATATATTATACCTGTATAATATTTCCTGTAAAATATATTATTAATAATATTTTTAACACTAGAAATGTGTAAAAGTAAAATAAGTGAAACAACAAAGGTAAAAATAATTATCTCTGATCTAAATTTATTCAAAGATTAAGTATTTGTTGAAAATAACACGCGTTGTAAACAGTTGATAATAAAAAGTTGATAAATATAGATTTTAAATGAGTAGTTGATAAATATAGATTTTAAATGAGTAAAAAATAATTTTTAAAACGCATTTAGAATGTCAATGTATTGTAATCCAAAGTTTAGTAGAAAAAATTGGAATGCGTTATATTTTTGCTATCAAAAATAATAAGATAAAAAAAAAAAACAATTATATTTTAACGATAGATTAATGGTTAAGCATGTGACCATTCTCCCCCCATCATTTTAGATAGAATTTTTTTAAACTATTGTTTCTTTTTCTCAAAACTAAGATGAACAGCAAAGTATTTAAGTGAACTGAACTGTATAAAATATCTGGGCACCTGAGGCTGCTTACGGCCCTTTTCCCAGTCATA